ACTCTAGGGCTTGGGTTTAAGACAAAGGGGGTTCACCAACAACTCATTGACTGATGCTTTATGACATTCTAGACCAACACAAGTCTAGATCTGAAGTAGCAACCTCAGATCTAACCTCCAAACCCAAAATAGATCTCAAATATACCAAAATGGCCCCAAATCTCTTTCATGAATAGATCTAGATGCAAAAGAGTGAAGGTAACAACTTATTACCTCCAAGATGTGCCCAAATTGAAGTAGATTCTGGATCTACACCACTCCCTTGATGCGAGCCCTTTATGATCTTCAAGTTTCTTCCACAAAAGACAACTTCAAAAGCTTCAATCTCCCTCCAAAGGCCTCACACACACGAGTTTAGGGTTTTCTGTTTCTCAAGGGCAATAGGGGCTGAGAGAAGGACATAAAGTCCTTTAAATAGGGTGCAATCCTCGAGATTAGGGTTTTCTCATTCCAGCACCAACTCGTCGAGTCCAGCTTCCGACTCGGCGAGTTGGCCACTTAACTTGCGGCCAAATCCCACTCCGACTCGACGAGTAAGAATACCTACTCGTCGAGTAGCTTCCTTAATTTACACTTTAAGCCCTTCAATCATACTTCTGGAATTTGGGGTGTTACAACGAGTCCTACCATGAACTTCGGGACAAGGCTACCCAGGAGTGCGAGTGAACGTTCTACCATCTGAATAAGTCTAGTCGCGTAAACCGAACCCATATGCTCCCTACCGATCTAATCAAACGAGAAACACTAAAGCAGGCCCTATGCAGCGCTATGAGGAGAAGTTATTACTTATGACTTAGTACAAATTCGAGAAAGGCTGAAAGCATCTCGAAACCGACAAAAGAGCTACACAGATAAGCGACGCAAACCCTCGGAATTGCGGGTTGGTGACCGAGTTCTGCCAAAGGCCTCAACGTTGAAAAGAATGATATGTTTCGGTAAAACATGGGAAACTAAATCCAAGGTACATCGGGCCGTTCGAAATCCTTGCCAGGATTGGCCCGGTGGCATACAAACTTCGGCTACCCCAAGGACTTAACAACGTACACCCGACCTTCCACGTGTCAAATTTAAGGAAGTGTCTGTCTGAAGAGACTCTTGTGATCCCACTCGAGGAAATCGAGGTCAACGAGAGTCTCCACTTCGTAGAAGAACCGGTATAAATCATGGATCGAGAGATCAAGAGAACAAAACAGAGTCGCATCCCTATAGTGAAGGTCCGTTGGAACGTTAAACGATGACCCGAGTTCACCTGGGAACGCGAAGACCAGATGAAACAAAAATACTCGCATCTTTCCCCAACTCTCGAAGTCCCGGTCAAAGTGCTAATTTCGGGACGAAATTCCTTCTAACGGGGGGATGATGTGACAACCGTCACTTTCTGGTCATGTCAAAGTCAAATAAAGTCAACAAGTCAAACTGGTCAACTCAACTAGTGTTAATATGATTAGGGATTTCTTTATGGTTACTAATG